TCTCTATTGATGATCATAATCTCAACACACACCATCACCCTTGCATTTAACAATTAAACAACCACCATTATTTTGGGGGAACTACAAAATGAACTAATGTATAAGAAATATTTACTTTTTTGTTACCATGACAATGAATAGTTACTAATATGGAAATGAATATTTTACTTGTTTGAAAGAGGAATATTGAATTCTTTTTTTACTTTTCAATTTAAAAAGAAAAAGAAGAATCACCAGTGGTTGGTTTGAGGCTCTTACAACTAAGTAAATGAAAATCAACATAGCCAAAAAAATAAAAATTGATAGATCAAAAAACAAACCTGAGATGTTCATGGGCAAGATGTGACAACCCAATATTGACGATAGTCGGAACTTCCACATACAAAGTTTATTGACAAGTCAGATTATGCCATTGGAGGTTGGCATCAATTATGTCAATGATAGTTACCTTCATCAATCTTATGGCTAGCAATGTCTCCTTTATTCCCTTACTCCTCTCTATCTCTTTTTTGATGGTTTTTTTTGGGTAAATTTCATGGTTAGTCATCAAATTTTACTCACTTTCCCAATTAAAACACTAGACTTTAATTTTTTTCCATTTAAATCACTAAAGTTTGTTAAAATCCCAAATTTTGTCACTTAATAAAATTCATCCAAATAACTAAAAAAATGTGGCTGCCACTTAAACAGCCATATCAAATGCCACATAAGACATCACACCCATGTTTTCTCTTAGCCTAAACAAAAATTTTTTCCTCATTTTTGTTCATTCACTTCGTAGTAAATTACTAGCTGTAGCTTTTCTCTAGTAATTTGTATATTTTTAAGTTCCTTTAAATTGTTGTTGTTAACGTTAGGTAGAGAGATTTCTTTTTTTGTCATTTAGATAAGTTTTTATATTGTGTTAGGATTATTAAAGGAATTTCCAAGTACAATGAATCATTAAATTCTTCATTGTTTAAACGAATTTTGAATGGTAACAAAAAAAACTAATTTCTAAATTTGTTTATCTCTTTTTCTCAGACTTTTCCCTTTTATTTTCTTTCAATTTTTTATTTTTAAAAAAGAAAAATGAAAGAACTTGCCACATACTTTTTGGATTGTTGGTAACTTTGGTGTTAGACAATGTGAGTTTTTAAATAATCTATGTTAGATAATATGAGAAAATTCAAATAAATTTTCATGTTTGTTACGATTTTTACATGAGGTTTTGAAGTATAAAGAATCATTAGATTTTCCATTACTTAAACTAATTTCTAAACAACCTCTACCTATCTTTTTTTATCAAACTTATCCATTTTTTTTCTTTAAACTAAATTTTGAAACCATCAATGGATGCTATAAAAATTACTTATGATGTCTCTCACGTTGATCCTCGTTTCATGGTATATTTTTTTAAATTCTCATCCATTTATTTCATTTATTTCAAATTTATTATTTTGATCGTAAAACTAAATTATTTCACATTTTTTTGTTTGTTGCGATTGTTTTTTTATGATAATGTTCGAAATATTGTGGTAAGAAAAAATTTAGGTCATTAAACTTGTCTGATAGTTTTTTATTGGTTAAGTTATGCAATTAGTCCTTATAGTTAAATGAAATTTGAATTTTAGTCTCTATAAAATAATTTGTAAAAAATTAAATCCTTATACTAGTTTAATTTAATAATGTTGATATAATTGATAACAATGTTACTTGATCTCCATTAAATTAGCTGACGTGGTCATTGACCATGTTGGCACGATGTTGATTTTAATAATATAGCATTGACTTGTTGACGTAATAATTAAGATTGATGAAATTAGTTGTTAAATTATGCAAATAATCCTTATACTCATACGAAATTTGAAATTTAGTCTCTGTATTCACACAAAATTTGAAATTTAGTTCGTATACTCATACGAAATTTAAAATTTAATCTCTCAAATATAAAAAATATTTTGAATTTTTTTAGTTTTTAAAAATATTAAATTTTAAAAAAATTTAGTTATTTTACTATATTAGTTTTTATTATATATAATTAATTATTAATAATATCATATCAATAATAATAATAATAATATTATTATTATTATTATAATTTATATTAATCAAATGTAATATTAATAATTTAAATCAATATATCAAAGTTAATATTATTTTAAAGGTTAAATACATATTTGGCTGTTAAACTTTGTAATTTTGGTCAAATTAGTATATAAAAAATTTTTCTGTCATATTGGTATCTAATCATTCAAATTCATTATCACGTTAGTACTTGAGACTAACGCCATTAGACAACTTTACTAATGTAAAATGAACATATAATAAAATGCTGACACATGTCAAAAAAGTTCAGTTAGCGCCATATCATCAATCTCACGTTATGCCCACTCATGTTTAAAAGAAAAATTAAAAAAAAAAACTTAAAAATATTCTAAAAACATTTTAAAAATTCTAAAAAATTTCTAAAAATTCTAAAATGATTTTTTACTACTTTTTATGAATTTTTAATTTTTTTTCAAACTTTTTAGATTTTTATTAAAATTTTAAGTTTCTTTAATTTTTATATATTTTTTTTACTTTCAAGAATATTTCAAAATTTAAAATTATTTAATTTTTCAAAAATTTTTAGATTTTTTCTTATTTTTAGTTTTTAAAGTTTTTGTGATTTTTTTAAACATTAAGAAATTTTAATTTTTATAAATTTTAATTTTTTTATTTTTTAAAAATTTTTAAAATTTTTAAAATTTTCCATATTATGATAATTTTATAATTTATAAAAATATTTCATATTTTTAAATTTTTATAAATTTTAAAATATTTTATAATTTTTTAAAATTTTTGAGAATTTCAAAAATTTTTAAAATTTTTTAGAATTTTTAGAAATTTTGAAAAATTTTAGAAAAGTTTTTAATTTTAATATATTTTGAAAAATTTTTGTGTTTTTTAGAATTTTTTAAAATTTTTAAAACTTTTTTAAGTTTTTTTGAATTTTTTATAGTTTCGAAAATATTTTTAGATTTGGTAAAAATTTTTCTTAGAATTTTTTTTAATTTAAAATAAATTTTTAAAATTTTTTAGAAATTTTCTTTTAAAGATGATGTGGGCATGATGTAGCATTAATCATATGGGGCTAATTGGATTTTTTTGACACTTGTCAATATCTTATTGAATATTTATACTACGTCAATAAAGTTGACTAATGAAGTCAATTCGAAGTACTAACATGATGACAAATTTGAAAGTTCATGTAATAATGTGACAAAAAAAATTTTATGTACTTATGTGGCAAAGTACAAAATTCAAGAACCAAATATGTATTTAACCCATATTTATAGTGAACCAAATAAGTATAAATATGTCATATAAGAAAATTTATAATGAACCAGAGTTGCATTTATAATGAATTTGAAACAAATCATGAATAAAATGATCATTCCACCTAACCAAACAAAATAAAAGATTCAAACCTAAATTGTTATGAAGGACGAACACTTATCCATTTAAAAGATGAATTTTGGATCTTAACAAAATAAAATGAGGAAATAATTTATTTGATAAATTGAAGCATTAATATCGTGTATCATAATGAGAACTTTCAATTGTTTAGGTCTTCATAAGAAAATTTTATTTGAATAATTATGTTAAATTAAATAATAAGATTAATTTTAAAACCAATACACATTAAGTACAATAAATTATTTTAATGTATTTAGAATCTTGAACTTATATTTGATTATAAAAAATATTTAAATATGGTTTAATTTAAAGGAATAAAAAATTATTTGATGAATAATTTTATCCTTATGAAATGTAATTATAATTCTAATTCATTAGATAAATTAATAAAAAATAATAGTTTTATTAAAATTAGATAGTGACAAATTAATAAAAATAATATTTTTATTAAAATAGTACTTCACATGGATGACAAAAAATTATAACAAATTTACTGACAATATATGATAATTGTGACTAAATATTGTGATAACTTTTTCAATATTATGATAAAATATTATAAGAGAATATTGTAACAATTTTTAAAATTTAATGTTTTAAAAAACTAGCAAATTTCTAAAAATTTGAAATATTTTTGGTATTAGAGGGTCTCAATTTTAAATTTCATGCAAGTATAGGGATTAAATTTTAAATTTTATGCAAGTATAAGGATTAAATTTTAAATTTTAATGAGTATATGAATCATTTACATGATTTAACAATTAATTTTATCAATCCTAATTACCACATTAATAAGTCAATGTTACATCATTAAAATTAATGCCATGTAGCATGATCAATGATAATGTCAACTAATTTAATAGAAATCAAGTAACACTATTATCAATTGGACTAACACTATTAAATTAAATTAATGTAACGATCTAATTTATGCAAATTAGTGTATAAGGACTATAGGTTAAATTTTATATAAGTATAGGGACTAATTGCAAATTTAACCTTATTTATTTGAAATTAGTATAAATAAAAATGTTATAATTGAATGAAAATTGATTTGAAATGTTAAAAAAATTAATATAAATAATTTTGGGTTTAGAAGTTTGGAAGACTATTAAGGTAAAAGAAACAGATTATCAATAAAAGTTGTCAATAATTTAACATATATAAAAAGATACAACTGGCTAAGGTTTGAGAGTGAAAAGGGAGGGGAATGAGAGAGGAAGAAAATAAAAAATACAATGGATGTTGATTCGGTAGGTTACATGGTAGCCATATAATTTTTTATTAGTTTTTTTGAATGAAATTAATTAAGTGATAGGATTTGAGATATTTAATAAAATTTAATGACTTGAATGGAATAAATTGAAGTTTAATTAATTATTTGGAAAAGTGATCAAATTTAACTGAGAAATTTACTAATATTTTTTAATTTAATAAAAAATTAAAATAAAATCTTAAAAATAAGAGTAAAATAGCACTTAAAATCTCAAACTTATTGTTGTTAAAATTTTATTTGTTTTTCAATAGAAGATTTTTATTATGGCAGCTGACTAACATAAAATTTCTGGCGTGAAGGACCATTTTGAAATTTCCCCATTATTTCCAATGATCCAATGTCACAGAATATTTTTAATTATACAATATCATAGCACATGCAATGTATCCCGATTATAGCAACCATCATGTGATTCAGATCCCGTCAATGATAATATTCCCACTAACTCATTCATTGCTTTCCGCTACAACGGGTAACCTCATTTCCAGTTGCGTTTCTTCAAAGCGGAAACGGGCCATGGACGCCGCCGCTAATCCCGGCTCTTTCTCCTCCGCTTCCAACCCTCACCGTCCCAATCCTTTGGTCTTCTCAGCCGATTATCCGCCCAGAATCTCCCTCACTCCCGATCAATTTAACCACTGTTCTCAGGCTCTCAAATATTTTTCTGAGAAGCTCCAAATGCCCCATGAAATCAACCGAGAGTTCTCTCACTTGCAGGTACCTCATTACTGATATTTACTTGTTTTGTGCATGTGAAATTTGTTTTTCGGACATGGTTTTTTAATTTGTGTATTACTATTTGTAGGCAAATAGGATTAGACCTTCGGAGATGACAAGGAGCTGTACAGTGGGTCTTAACAGTGTCAATTTGGACAAGAATCGATACTCTGATGTCGTACCATGTACTTAAAAAAGTTTATTTTTTTTTCTTTTGAAATAAATTGCCTTAGTCGATTTGTTTGTAGTAATGATTAAGATTTCTTTGTTTAGTTAAAGTGAATTTAACTGAGTAGACTTTCTTTTAATGGTTTCAGTTGACAATAATAGGGTAGTTCTTAATTCATGTAAAGACTACAGACCAGCTGCAAAGGGTTATATCAATGCGAGCTTCATCACGGTAGATTTCTATGTTCTTAGTGTTTTAGTTGAAAGGAATTTATATACGGTATTTGGAAGTTTGGAACTATTTTCCTCCAATTGACCCCTTTAGGATTGTGATGTTTTTGAATGTAGACTTCTTCCTCGGAAGACATTTCGCAGTTTATAGCCACGCAAGGTCCATTGCAACACACCTATGAGGATTTCTGGGAGATGGTGATCCAGTGCCATTGCCCTGTGATTGTGATGCTTACTCGTTTGGTTGACAATTATAAGGTACTTAATTGTGTAGGGGCTGAGATGAAGCTTTTTGTACCTTGAAAGTGGTTGAGTTTGCCAAGTACTGTGATCTATTGGTAGGACTCTTAGTTCCAGTGACTAAAGCTCAAATCCTGACAACCTCGAATACCAAAAAAAAGTGGTTGAGTTTGACTATATGCTGTTTCTACGTCCAAAATATGCATGGTTGGCAACTATGCATGTTTTGTTAAATCAGAAGGTTTCGTCATTCAAAGTTTAGTTGGCTTGTATGAGTAGTTAGTGTTAGGTGCTTTCTGTACATTTATGCAATTAAGCACTTAAAACTATTTTCTTCCCAAATATGATCTAGATGATTTTTGTTGTGTTACCACCATTTTCTCTAGATGTGAGCACTTAATCTTCCATTCTTTCATAAACATCTCAATTGTGTATGCTTATCTTTCTGTCAAAATGCTAAATGCAAAATGAAAAATGCTATTGATTAATATCATATGAAAAGATCATATGGACTTTCTTTTCTTTTGGGAGTATAATTTCTGGTTGTAGTGTGATTTAAATAAGAGATATAGTAATTATGAGGCAACTTTGTCTTTATCACTCATGATACTGGTTTTCATTCCTTAAGTTTCATTCTTGTGGACTTTTCAGCAAACCTTAAGAATTTACCTCCTAAAATTATTATCTGAACTAGTTGGTTTTGATGTTGGTACTTTCATTGGTGATAGAGAGTTTCGTGTCATATCATTTTTGTTTTCACTTTGGTTGAGTTTCATTTTGTTTTTTTTGGTTCATTCTTATTTAGAATTTATGTGCAGATAGTAAAATGTGGAGATTATTTTCAAGCAGAAGATGGTCCTAGACAGTTTGGCAATATCTGTATTGGTACTAAATGGATACAAGCGACAAAAACCTCATTATTGCTACGCAACTTGGACGTAAATTATAAGGAGGTATAACTTTTGTTTTTCTTTAAAAGAACTTGCTAAATAAATGCTAATTATGGTTTGTTATTAATATTGTGCTGCAAAGGCAAAAGGGCCAGAGTTTAATCCTCAAGATAAAAAGAAAGACTATCTACCTAATAACACCCTATTTATTTTTATATATATTTCTTTGTAGTGCATTTGCTAGAAGATTACGGAATGCATATTAGTTTCTATAGGAGTTAGTCGGATTGGTGTTACTTTTCCTTTGGAGGCATTAATTTGATAATTTCCAAAATTATCATGGAGCTTTAGTCCATGTCAATAACTTGTTATTTGTAACCTTTTCTCTAGTAACCTTAGAACAGATTCTGGTGACTTATTGGTGGGTTATATTTTTTTTAATTTGTTAATGTGGGAGGTTTTGGAATACTGAAGTAAAATTTAAATTCATTCTTGTTTGCCAAGTTAGAGTATTATGGTATGAATGTTTACTCTTGGAAAAAATGGGCAAGCTGCTCCTTTTATTGCAAAATATTCCATGGAGACTAAGGCTAATACCATAAGAGAACTCTTCTCTTACTTTAATCCCCCAAAAACTTCATTCTTCTAAGGTAAACTAATTTCCTGGATCCCATGGAGTATTTGTTTCAGACTTAATTTAGATCAGATCAGACATATGTATCTAAGTTGGTATCAACCATGGCTACTAAGAGTTGAATACAGTACTTTCAAGTTATCCCTTTCAGTTGAAGGATAGAGAGCTGAGAGCACCGTATTGAAGTTAGAAACACTTTTAAATATATATATATATATATATTTTTTTATGATGAGGAAAAATTGCTTGAAGCCAATGTCTAAGGTTTTGGGCTACTAGGATCAATGCTTGGTTTTTTTCTGAGGTAATGAAGAGTTTTGATTGCTGAAATTGAGAATGATTGCTCAACAGCTTCAAGAAGGATTTGGGGGTTACAGGAAAATTCTTTTATCAAGTGGAACGAAGATTTTGGATCATGTTGAAGAAGGATGTTAGTCTAGCAAAACTTTTCATTGCATGCAGAATAAAGCTCGAATATGACCCAGGTAGAGACTTGAGAATTAGCTGGTAACTATTGCTAAAGGATTTGGAGATGCTGGCAGAGTTGTGCAACTCTATTACAAGTTTTAGCTGCTAAAGACATAAATTTTATTGGTGACAATCAGAAAAAGGCAGTGGAATTTGGAAGGAAGAACTGGTGGAGTAAATATGATGTTAGCTAGTGATACAGCATCTCTAATATGGTTGATAGTGATGTTAAGTCTTAGACAGTGGTGTAATGTGGTAAGTTAATGCAAGTTTCATGAATCAGGTAATTTTGTTTTTTGTGTTCATATATGCCCATGCCCACTTTACCCTTTAGATGGGAAGTGTTGGACCTCAAAGATAGCAAGCCAGTTATCTTAATTTGAAATTAGAAAAGGAAAAATGAAAGCAAAGATGTTGACCAGTAAATAAAATATGTCTATAACTAGACAAACGCCTTTAACAATCAAAGACCTTTATTGGAGGTAAGTTAACCCTGCATTTGATCCTGATACTTAACAAGCATTCTGGTTTCATGTTTAGGTGCAGGAACTTATACGAAAGTTGGAATAAGGGCAGGTAGAGCATATTATAGCTGACAATCTGTTGAATTTACTTAGTTTCACATTTTAGCGGACATGTCAGGGTACAAATAGGTTGCATAGCTCATCATGTTAGTTATTTATCTCCTTGTTGAGGCTAGCAATCCATCTTGCCTCATTTTCTTTTTCTAAAATTTTGGCATTGAAGCCATCAGGCAGGTTAGTTACTGAAGCAATCATTAGATTCCTAGGAAAGAATGCAGCTTGGTTGTATGGACCAGTTGAATTAAATGTCGACTACTCCTTAAGTATCTAAGTTCTTCTTGCTTTAAAGAAATCGCTAGGCATGAGACAAATAAAATTGCCTTTTTCGTGTTAGGTGAAGTATATTTACCGAGGAGTTTGGCTGGCTCAAGTTGAGTGTGCTATAGGTGATCTTACATTATAGTTCTTGTAGACATTGTTGTGAACTGCAAATTCACAGTAATGTGACGTTAATTAGCCATCCTTTTTTAAAACAGTTAAGAAAATATTGGCCTGGAAGATTTTGCATCCTCCTCTCCCCTGCAGGGTAAAAAAGAAAAACAAAAAAATGTATTCCATGGTAAAGGTAAAATGTCTTCTCTATTTATCAAGCATTTGAAAAACAAAATACTTCTTTGTTATCATCTAAAGAACTGTTTTGCTGGATTCCTCTGTTTCCATTTTGCAGTCAGAGGACCCACCAGTATCAGTTTTGCACATTCAATATCCTGAATGGCCTGACCATGGAGTTCCCACCAACACACTTGCTGTCCGTGAAATCTTGAAAAGAGTATTACAAGTACCAGCAAATCTTGGCCCAATAGTGGTGCACTGCAGGTTCAACTTATTTTTATTACTTTACAATTTAATTCAAGGATGTTCAATTCTATCACATATAAGCCTGAGACAATTTCTCTCTGTTTCAGTGCAGGTATTGGGAGAACTGGAACATTCTGTGCAATTCATAACACAATCCAGCGAATCCTGATTGGAGACATGTCTGCTTTAGACCTTGCTACTACCGTATCTACATTTAGGTCTCAGCGTATTGGAATGGTTCAAACCATGGTATTACTTCTGATTTATTTACACTTTCAACCTGCTAAGCTATTAGGATACTTCAAGTTCCTGAAAGCATCAGGAGCTGTATGAAAATCAAAGTCAGTAGTAATGCTGGGTAGGCACTGAAATTTTATTCGAAACTTTGCAGTCATCAGACCAAAAGAGAGTACTATGGAACAAATAGACATGGGAATTTTTATGCATCATGACACAATATAGGCTTATTGGTTAGAAATGCTTTAAGCAATTATTCAAATATATCTTTGTGTTTCCTGTTAATATTCCTTTCTTGTAGTATTTCATGGAACAATTATCTTTGGTGAGCAAAGATGGTAACCATCAAGAAAGTAATTCGATCGTTGTTCAGTTACTGAATGTATTATATCAAAGTTATGTTGCTCATTGCCTTGAGCTCACATGGTAAAGGATGGAACTAGGATCGCTCTTTGGTCCAATTCTTAATAGTGGATATTAGTATTATAGAAAGAATAAATCTTGCTCTTCTCTTCTATTCCAATTCATTAGAATCAAAACAAGAAAAAAGAGCTTCAGACTCTGTTCTAATAAGTGGTTTAGACATGCCTGATTACATTTTATTTTTCCCCTGCACATCCTCGTTTTTCAACATATAAGGTTTTGACATACTCTTTTGTCTGCTTATGATTCAATAGGATCAATATTTTTTCTGCCACAAAGCAATTGTTGATGAATTGAAAGACCTCATCTCGGAGTTCCGTGGTGAATTCAGTTCAAAATGGTATGCTCATCAAGTCCGTTGAATTTCCTGAATTGTTACAGAATTGTTTATTACGTGAGAATGTTGTAAGTCTCAGTTTTTAACTACAAAAATTACCCTGTTTTATGAAATGTTCTGCATTTATTTTTTTGGATGTATTTCCTAATGCAATGTCTGCTTGTTTTTCTTTCATTGGCAGCTAGATTTCTCCCAACTAAAGCTGATTTTGCAAAGGTACTAGAAGAGCCATTTGCTTGTTTCTCTGAAGTTGGAGAAATGCATGTTTAATTATGCTTCTGGAATATCCATGTGCTTGTAAAACTTCCTCGAATTGCATGGCATCCTGGAAATAAAGAACATTGCTAATCAATTGATTCAGTTGACCTTATTTTCAAGATTGCAGGAGTTACTTGCAAAATTTAGGAATATGAACAAAAATAAACTGTTTTACCCAACCTCATATCTGTTCCTCACCCGGGTCATGTGGAAAGACTTTTCTGCATCTTAACTATCAAAAAAATTATACTTACATGAGATTTATGTAGTTTTGGCAATCAGTTTCCTAATTGCAGACTATTTGTTGATCAAGTATTTCTAGATTAATGGTATTTCTCTATGTTCAAGTCATTGTTTTTTATCAAACTATTATCTTTTCTTCTGCACAAGCACAGAATTATGTTAATGTGATTAGTTGTCTACTAGAATTTTAGAGTGGTTAACAATGGCTGAGAAACTGAAATAGTCTTGTTGTTTTGATACGATAGGAAATATTTTGTAGGTCTGTCAAATAATTTTTGTACTCAGCTGTGATGGTTGAATTTCAGACTTTGGTTTCAGAACTGAAGTCCGACAGATGGGGGCATTAATTGGGTTAGGATCCAATCCTTGCCATATAGCTGAGAACACCAATTTGAAAACATGAGACTTCAGTATTCAAATTCTAATAACATGTTGGTAGTTTAGAAAAATAAAAGTTATTTAAAATAATTTTGGTGAACTAAGGACTTTTGATATTGGTAATAAACTACTCTAGCTAACTTACATAAATTATGAAAAAAGTTAGATTTGTTCCAGTGAATAATTGACTTTATTAATCAAGAATAATAATTAATGTTTTAATTTTAGTTGAAATATTTCATTTATTTGTCAAAGGTTATCTTATCCATAAAAAAGAGCATATCAATTACAATTTTTTTTTATCATAATCTTAAAATCATTTAATCATAATAAAAAATTATATAAAGATTTATCATTTATAAATGCGAAATTCACATGAAATTTTAACAAATCTTACACAATTATAAATTATAATTGGTTAATAATAGTGAAATGCTTTCGCAAAAAGATATGTATTTTTATAAAGTACACAATAAACTTTTCCATAAAACCATTATCACTATTCTAATTAAGTTATGATGAAATTTTCTCTAAAACCACTTTCATTATTCTACTTGAAATGATGAAGTGTTAGGAGTTACGAAGTTTATTATATCCTGGAAACATACTAAATAATACTCAAAGCCATCTTGCATTTTTAACTTTATTTTTTTTTTGATCATCTAAATTTTCTAACATAAACATAACAAAACTAGGATTTAGCTCAACAACAAAACCAAAGTTCTCTCTTTCACGTCGCAACGAACATTGAAAGACAAGAAAATAAAATGCAGCAATTCCAGAGCCTAGCACAGAAACTGTACCAAGAAAATTTCAAAATCAAACTCCAATCATTTATCAAAGAGAATACTCATAACACTTCTAAATACCGGTCCCCTCTTACTGCTAAAAACCTCTTTCACATCCTTCTCATCAGGCACAAATCCCTTCTCCTTCATCTGCCCCAAAAATTCCTTGGCCTCATCCACCTTATCCATCCTCGCAAATGCCTCCAAAACCACCGTGTAAGTACCTGCATTAGGCCTCATCCCTTTCCCTATCATCTCCATCAGATACTTCTTTGCATCACCAAGATGTTTAGCATCAACAGTAGCAAGGCCTTTAATGAGAACAGTGTAAGTGTAAGCATTGGGTGCAACCCCAGATGCCAACATCCGCATAAAACTTTTGAGAGCTTCTTTACACTGACCCGCATTGGCATAAGCTTCAATAACAGCTGTATGAGCAACCACGTCTGGCATTTGACCCTTGTCTTTAAACTGAGAAAAAAGCTCCAGCGCTTCATGGGTTAGTCCATCTTTTGACAATGCATCAAACATCTTGACGGCGTTGTTGATTAGGCCATCGCCTCGCATGTTGTGGAACACTTGTTGCAGGTTTTTGGGGTCTTGGGGTTCTTCAATAACTGGTTTTTTGTTAAAGGGATCATAAGGAGGAGGGAGTTTGGATTTGTCCAATTCTTGTTTGGAAACTTGTTCTTCTTCTTCTTCATCTTCAGAGTCTGAGTCTGAGAGGGAAAAATTGACCTTGGTGTTGATTTTTTGGGTATGGTTTGGGGGATGGGAAGAGGAGGAGAATTGTGATGATAATGTTGCAAATCTATTATGGGTTGTTGTAGGTATACCAGCTGAAGATGAGGCAAGGAAGATTGGAAGTGAGAAATTGGTTTTTCGAATGAAGAAAGACAAAGAAGAAGGATATTTAAACCACAAAAGGAAGTGAGAAATTCTTGCATTAGCCATGGCCATGGATGACACAGTTTGCAGGACTAATCAAAGTAGTGGAAAGTTCCAGAACTGGAAGAAGCGGAAAGTAAGTTCAGAGGCTTCAGGCCAAGTTTTCTAGAATTTGATTATTATTTGAATCACGCTAATCTTTATGTTAATTACACCTTATAGACCCTCAAAACAACTGTGGTCAAAATAATTTGTTGGCCTTTATAGTTTAAATGTGATAATAAATAATATTTTCATTAGTGTTTTTGTTAATTTAAAATAATTTTTCTGTTGCTGAGATATTATCAAATAAAAATGAAGAAAGAAACACTAAAAGTGAAAAGTGCGCTTATCAATTTTAGATAAAATAATAAACATTTTAATTATTTTTAAAGTAGTAAAAATAATTATTTTCCTTTATTTTCAGGAGTACTTGCTACCCACATCTCAGTATCAAAGATATAAAATTAGAATTCTCAAAAAAAAAAATAAAAATTGAAGGAATTGGTGATTCCAGTGGAGGAACACTAATACCATTTAAGAGGTAAATCCTAGGTAGGTGCATGCTTCCTTCTCTTTAACTTATAACATATTGTAATTGTCTATTTAGCTTAACGTGAGAAATGCATTTTAAAGACATTCCCAAGAAGTACAAATCCATTATTTATGAAAGAGTTAATTATATTCTTTGTATTTCAATTTTAAAAAAAATATAAATTAATGCTTCAAGAAATAAAATATATAATTTATATTAACTTTTAAATATTTAGCATTTTTTACACATGACTTCTACACGAAAATTTTTACAAAATATGCCTGTAAAAGATTATTGTTACTGAATATTGGTATTCTAAAAAGTTATGAAAAAAAAAAAATTGAACATACGAAGTAAAGGTAAATTGTCTAACAATTAAAAGTCATCATTTTTATATAAACAAATAATAAGTTAATTTCATAATTGTAATATCAGAAAAAGTTGCATGGAACACTTACCATATCAATATTATTATAGATAAAAAGGATCCTCTAAGAATTCTATGGTTGACAAATTTTTTTTTTCTTAATAATTTTATATAGATACGAACTCCCATATAGGATTATCTCAAATAATGCAAAGAATTTAAACAACAAGATTATGCAAGAAATATGTGCTTAGTTTAAGATTAAACACCATAATTCAACCTTATATCGCCCAAAGATGAATAGAGCAGTAAAAGCCACAAATAAAAATGTTAAAAGGATTCTGGAAAGGATGACTAAAACATATAAGGATTGGTTTGAGAAATTATCTTTTGCATTGTATACCTGCCAAACGTCAATATATACCTCCCCTAAAGTGATTTTGTTTTCCTTTATTTACAAGATGGAAGCCGTATTACCAGTGGAAGTAGAAATCCTATCTCTAAGAGTCTTAAGAGAAGTGAGGTTAGAAGAAGCTGAATGAATCTAAAAGCGTTATGAATAATTAACTTTATTGAAGAAAAAAGATTAGTAGCACTCTACCATGGCCAATTATACCAAAAAAAGAATGATGACAGCTCACAATAAAAAGGTTCAACCTTATCAATTCTGAGAATGAGAGTTGGTGTTGAAAAAGATTCTCTCAAGTTAACATGATGATAGGGGGAAATGGATTCCAAATTGGTAAGAACCATACATTATGAAAAGGGCCTTTTCAAGATAAGCCTTAATTTTGTTAGAGATGGATGGAGATGACCTTTCTAATCCCATAAATTCTGATATCATGAAGAAATACTTTATTTTAAAAAAGAAAAAGAGTTCAAGTTGAAAACCCGAAAGGGCATCTTAAGCAAGAAACAAAAAAAAAAAAAAGAGAGTTCAAATTAAAAACCCAAAAGGGCAGCTTGAACTAAATTGAGGTTTATCTAAGTTGGAAACTTGTAAAGGTGACTTTGATAAGGAAGAAACGACATTATTTGAAATGCGTACCAAAATTAGTGAATTTCGAAGAGCTTTAAAATGCTATGGGCATTATATAGTTGAGTTTTTAAAGAAATCTAAGATTTGTCGTCATGATTATCTAATTATTTATCTTGAGGCATCACTATCCTAAATAGCCATCCCTATACACCTTAATTTTATTCTTTTGCCGTAATCTATAATTTAATTTTTTTTTCAAATAAATGATATTCATTTCATCCTATTTATGTCCTGCTTTCAATATTTGCCTTTCGTTTTTTATACTTTGACATGAATAGAATAAGTACATAATTCACATCTTATATTTCGAAATTGAGATAATGATTAATAATTGAGTAATTTCATAAAAGATTGAGTATTACTTTGAGAGAATTTGAAAATTTCAAAGTATGATGAAGTCATTGATTTTGAAAGTTCCCCTTTGGTTGAAGATAAATGCTTATCTTAAGTAACGAAATATAGTTTATACTCTTCTTATGAGAAGTATGCAGAGATGAGAATATAGAAGAAAGCTATTGGAACTTTAGTATCATAATTGAAGTTTCATTTGCATCCTAAATAGGGCATGCACTTGCATCATTGCATTATCATTTATCATTTATTTTGATCTTGGCTTAGTCTGTATCATCTTTTTGACTCGTGGTTCGATCTCAGTCACTTGCTTTCGATCTTAGCTCAATCCAGGTCATCTGTCTAACTCATAGTTCAATCCCAATCATTTAGTTTTTTTATCTCAGCTTAGTCCAAATCATTTTTCTAACTTGCGGTTAGACCTTGGTCATTCATCTTCGACCTTGACTCGTTCCAGGTCGATTTAGTTTTTTGGGCTTATAGTTCAATCCTGGTTGTTCGTTCTGATCTCGACTTGATCCAGATCATTTTTCAAACTTACGATTTAATCCCGATCATTCGTTCTGATCTCAACTCAATCCAAATCATTTTTTTTACCAACAATTCAATCTTGATCACTTGTTCTGATCTCATCTTGGTTTAGATCATTTTTTTGATCAACGATTCAACCCCGATTATTTGTTCTTATCTCAGCTTGGTCCAGATCATTTTTCTAACTTGTGGCTCGGTTCTAGTCATTTTCGCCCACTGATTTGACTTTTGCTTTTTGGGCCCAAACATAATGGATGTTTAGGTCTTTGCATTTCCTCTATCTAACTAGGATATGCAAAGAAAGGCAGCTATAGATACCCATCTATGTTTGAATCAAATTATATGTATTAATAATAATAATAATAATAATAATAATAATATAATATTATTATTATTATTATTATTATTGTTTCCTTTTTTCTTAATCTATGTTGAAACAAGGAAACCAATTTACTTTAATTCAAAAATGAATCAAAGGGGGATTTCAATCAATCAGACTTGCCAATCCTAAGCCTAAATTACATTGGATAAAATTCAATCCCACGATTCAAGCTTGAATTGCTTTTGTTCAGGCAGAATCCAATCCTAAGATTTAAGCTTGGATTGGTTCTATTTGAGTCTTAAAATCTCTACTAAGGCAAGCTATAAATTGGACATAAGATCATAGAGAAAAAAAAATGGTGGATTTTTTAGGAAAACTCTAGGTTTTGAATTTATGGGTTAAAGGATTCTGAGTTTAAAGTTTCTGGGTTTAAAATTTTTGGGTTTAAAGTTTCTAGGTTTGACATTTGAAGTTTATGGGTTTGGGTTGAATTTTTAGGAAACTTTTGAAAAAATCAGGGAAAATCTGAAAATTTTGAGCTTTTGGTTTAAAGGTTTGAATTTTTTGGTTGAAATTTTTGGCAGAGTTTGAATTTTTTGACTAAATTTCAGTGACATTTTTCAAAAACTGACAAGTTACCCAGTTTTTGGTGGATTACTTTGGGTTTTCTAGAAAAAAAGTAAAGCGAATTTTGACTAAAGAAAGAGGACCGATTGCTTCTAAAGAAAGGCTAAGTGTTTTGGCTTTTATATATGCATCAAATGACGCCATTTTAGTCAACCCAAGATTTGCATGAACCCATTTAGATCTGCGTGCTGCCTGTGGAACAACCTAACCTGATCGTAGGTTTTTTTTTTTTTTCATTTTTTGATTTTATTTTTTGTCATTTTTATTTTTCAAGTTTTTATTTTTTAATTTTAATTTTTATTTTATTTCACTGATTTCTAAATTGAGCAATTTATTATTTTTTTAATATTTTGTAAAATTTCTTTTTATTTTTGGAAAATAGCTTTAAAAAATAAATGAAAAAAAAATGAAAACCTTTCTTTTTAAATAAATTCATGAATCCTACCAAACTATTAGAAAATTTTTCATGAATTTAAATTTTATGAATTTCACCAAATTATTGAAGAATTTTATAAATTAATTTTTGCTAAAAAAAATAATTGTTAATAAAGTATTTTGTATTTTATCCTACTAAACTATTGGAGAATTGCGTCTTAAGTAAAATCTTACTAAACTATTGAAATATTTAATGAATTTTCTCAAAAATAAAATTTTATAAATATTTTACAATAAAATCTTATTAAACTATTGAGAAATCTGCATCAAAGTAAATCTTACCAAACTATTAGAAGACTTTACTAATTATTTCTTGAATAAAATATATTAACAAATCCAACGACAGAGCCTTTTCAGGGTGAGACACTAGTCTCCATGAATATTCCTAATATGAGAAAATTATCTTAAATTACTACCAAACTATTGGAGTAATTTTAGGATCAATTTTCAATAGTAAATATTTTAGTAAATTACAAATATGATTAAGGCTTGGATAATTTAAAATCAAACTGGTACCATCCTTTGAAAGGACGTTGTGAAAGTGCTATAACCTTCCTCACACATAACTGCACTTTCAAATCTAAAATTTGATTTCGTGAACTAAAAGTATTATTTAAAGATACCTAAGTCAATCATGAGATTTCATAGATTTTATTAGGTGACCAATCACACCTAAACAAAAAAGATTGATAACGACTTCTTAAATTTATATCTAACGGTAAGTCCACAAATCTATACATTATGACAATAATATTAACCATTTTAATCCATTTCTAAAACTAACTAACTTAACTTGAATTTTGATTAAACCTAAAAAGATTTGGATGAAATTTAACCTAAAATAAATGACTAACAAAAATGATTTCCATTATTTTCTTGAGGGTAAAATATCTCTCAAACATGAAATCATTTAATCATGATTTCCATCATTTTCTCAAGGGTAAAACATTTCTCTCTCAAAGATAAAATTAATTAATCACAACGAAAAAAAAAAATATTTTGGTT